TCAAACTGTTCCGAGTTCCGACTCATGGCACGAGCACATTAATTTATATGCAACTTTTATTTTGCAGTACTTTCAAGGAATATTATTAAATGAATCAAGATTCATTTGCACACAGATATATATATATATGTAAGAGTTTATTCGGTAAAGTTTTTATAACTTAATTTTAAAAGTTAAGATGATTTAATGGTTAAAAATTTAAAATTTTAAGTTAAAAATCTCAAATTAAAACCTTAAGTTGAATGAAGAGGGATTTAAGGAAAGAGAATGGTTATCTCCTTTTGTATAATTTAATATTATCAAATGTACCAAAAAAAAGTTTTTATAGCCAAATCTTAAAAAAGCTATTATTTTTTAATTAATATTGTTTGTTAGTTAATATAAATGTTAAATGTTATTTTTAGTCCTTAAATTTTAAAAGTTAAACATTTTTAATTCATATATTATTTTTTACATTTTTTTCATCTTTAGGTTATAAAAATGTAATTTTTTTAATTTTTTTGTTAGTTAATCCATTAAGTTTATTTATATATGCACACTTTTATTCCTAAACTTATATATGGACAGATTTTAACAAACAGACTTAATGGACTTATATAACTTATAAGTTTAAGGATAAAAATATGTATATAAAGATAAACTTAATGAACTTACTGATAAAAAATCTAAAATGTGCATTTTTTTTATAGTTCCAAGATGAAAAAATGTAAAAAGATAGTTCAATACTAAAAATTTTCAAAATTAAAAATTCAAGGACTGAAAAAAACATTCAGCCTAATGTAAAAGAAAAATTAAAAATTAATACTTAATTATTCCTAACTTATGAAAATTTTCAATTTTAATTTATTTTATAATGTAATCATGAAATAATTATTATCACTAACCAAACTGAATAGAGGTGGCAAGTTCGTAATGAATGGGTTGGTTGCCGAGCATTTTCCCTTCTTTTTTTTTCTTTTTTTTTTTTTATTCAGTCACGGATGAATTGCTTGATGAACGGTGGGATTTAGCCGTCGTAGGTTCGTTCCAATTTAGCCGCAGTCAACAAAGGTAAAAAATAGTCAACTAAAGTAAAAAATGGTGTGGTATTAACATTGTATATAATAAGGTGCGGTTAATAGCCTCACCCGTTGGATTGGGTTTTTTTTTTTTTTTTTAATAAATATTAATTTTTTT